ATTTCCTGTTCCGTGAACCAGAGCTGCTCAGCACTCTCCATATATGGTGATGGTATTTGCATGAAGGGAAAGCCTGAGCTTATGGATCAAAACTGGTGTTGAAATTCCTTTGTGTTAACTTCTGGGAAACGGTCTGGTCCCATAGTTTGGTTTTGGATGATCTGATTATCTGTGATTCTCAGAGGGAAGATAAATCCAAGTCATCATCAATGATTTTTTTTTTTTATATACTTCCATTAATAACTTATGGTGGTTGTTAAAATATCACATATTTAGATCATCACTGTGTTGTAGTCGTGCCAGATGCTCATTTCTTTACTCTGTGTGTTGCTAAGCTAAGCAGTAAGTGGTTGCGTGGTGACGGTGCTGTTATGGCCACTGTAGACTCCACCTGTGTCGGATCTCCCCTGTGTCTGTGTGTTTGTGTGTACAGTATGTGCCTGTGTTTAGACTCTTACTCCTTAACCACAGACCTACATTAACTCAGTTTTCCTCTGAGATGAAGGGATCTCTTATCATAAAACACAGTTAAATGTAAGAAAATAATCCATCCCATGATATGTACATAAGAGGGATGAGACCTTTTGATTGGTATGCTTGCATCCAAAAGGAAAGTTGTTGGAGGATTATAAGTTTGATAATGAAAGACGCTGGTTCTTTGTGTAAACTGTGAAGCATTCTGTTAGACAGGCGGTGTCACATTTTCTTGTTTTAATTGTCTAATTTATGATGTGTATGCTATTGGGTGTTGTACTGCCAAACCAATATGTCCAATTGCACTTAGAGACATTCATAAAATTGTATTGTATGCATCAGTAACACCACACAGTGAGTGTAGGTTTAAAAACATACAGGAGATAGTGAGCAGCCACTAACCCAGTGGGTTGTTTAATGACAGAGTCGGGCACATTACAAGAAAAACCAGAATTTAGTAAAACATTTATAGAGAAATGTAATGGTGTCATCATTTGTCAGATCCACAACATCACATTTTGTTAAGATGGTGTAGCATCTCCTGTTTGTGTGACTTATTAATGTGTTGTTATGACTGGTTCATAACGTGGTACAGAACAGAAATCTCTGTAAGGGAAGCACACTCCAACTCCCCCGATTACTATAATGGCTGTCGACCTCTGGCTGCTCTGGTGCCGCTCTGCAGCCTGCAGCAGAGGAGAGCATTTATTCTGGGCACCCCCAAATGTTTTTGCGTATGTGTGCAGCTTCCCTTTATTGTGCAGCTCCTCCCTTAGTACTCTGCTGTAACTAAGAATATTTTCTTAATCTTCTTGTCTCATTAAACATGGCCTGAGAAACACTCCTCAGAACATTTAGCTCCTACATGTCCAGCTCATTGCCTCCCCCTTCTTGTATCTGCACACTTTCATTCCAGAAATAGAGGGGAGAGATTACAGTAAATATAACTTGTTCAATTGTTTTCACTTTGTGGTTGGGTGAGCGCTCACTTTTAATGCCTGCTTTTAGAGAACATTTGTACATTTTCATCTGCCAAAGTACTACTTTTAATAAGTAGGTGGCAGTAAAAGGATAACTAGTAATCCTGAATAAAAAGAGCATTTGAGTGATATAATGAACAAAATGCAGTGTTCTGGTTGTGCTGGTTCTGGACGTTATTGAGGCCCAGTTAACTCAAACACAAATCTATTTTGTAAGATTGGCTTCACCTCAGTGGGGAAAATTTTACTATATATCATGAGTAAGTTATCGGCTCCTCTTGCATGATAATGCCTTAAAAACACAGGGAAGGCAGCTTTTGCCAGTTCTCTAGGAAGTTACATCTTCTCCTTTTCATTAGCCTGAGACTATGGTATTGCCCTTAATAGTTGCCTATATATGATATGAGATATACTTAAAGCTGCCTTAACTAACTTCTCCCTAATTTTCAACCGTTAAGGGCAAAGTGAGAGTCAAAACAAACTCAAGCGGTATCCCCTCCTCTTCTCGCTCCATTCCTCTTTGTCCCTCCTACTCTGTCTCTGAAACTAGGTCATATGTGGTCATGACAGTAGGAGGCAGTTGTAGCAGTCAGGTAGTGCCGTAATAATAACCAGCTCCAAAACTAATGTGTGTGAAATATAGAGCGAGTGGTTTTCAGTGGCATTGCAGCAACACAATGTTAAATAAAGAGGTTTACATTTTAGCAATATGCCTATGTATGTCTAATGTTTTTTGTAGCTAGTTTGGTACCTTTGTATCGAATTATTCTACCTGTAACTTGTACAACTGACTGCAACCTTAGTGTTTTGTTGTCCAATTAGCAGAAACCAGCGTATTTCCATGGATTAGCAAATGAAGTAATTTTGCATATTTTTGCTGGGTTTTGGGTTTCCAGTTTGTTGGATATAACACTGTAGTCCATGTAGCATTTTAGTAAGAAGTTAAAATTCACACCATCAACACAACTAAAAAAGCAATGAGGTTGTTCAACTATCAAAGCATAACCTTAGCATAACCTTAAATTTCTCATTTCATATACAACTTACGGTTATGTTGGTCAATAATTGACTGACTGGGAGAAACTCCCCAGCCAGTAATATTGTACTAATGTTCCGGGCACTATCACATCATGTTCAGTGTTGGATACTTGACCAACATAACCGTAAGTTGTATGTGAAATGAGAAATTTAAGGTTATGCTTTGATAGTTGAACAACCTCATTGCTTTTCTAGTTGTGTTGATGGTGTGAATTTTAACTTCTTACTAAAATGCTACATGGACTACAGTGTTATATCCAACAAACTGGAAACCCAAAACCCAGCAAAAATATGCAAAATTACTTCATTTGCTAATCCATGGAAATACGCTGGTTTCTGCTAATTGGACAACAAAACACTAAGGTTGCAGTCAGTTGTACAAGTTACAGGTAGAATAATTCGATACAAAGGTACCAAACTGAAAAGCCAGTGTTAGTTTGCTAATGATGCCGACATATACACGTTAGCCAGCTAACATTACAGTATTTAGGCATCCAGAAGGAAGAAAGCCACATCTGCATCTAATTTTAGTCCTTTTGGATGCTTTTAATGCTGCCCATCTCTGACATGCCAAACTGATGTTAACCCTGGCTTTGCCCTGTTCTTTGTTGCACTCCTTCTGTGCTACAGAACACAACCTTTTGGGTCTAACAGGTCCTCTCCCATAATGGGTGGCACCTGGAAAGGGAACCTCTACCTATCAAATGTTTAGATTTCCTCCTCTGTTTTCACTGATTGGACAGTGTAGGGTATTTTAGCGTTGCGAGTGTGATCACAGTGTCACTGCTGCAAAGGAAGCGAGGAAGGAAGGAAGGAGGCATCTCCCTCTGTTGCACTTAAAAAGCTGTAGAACATGTTAATGGATGTGATCTGGAGAATTTGTTGCTTCCCTCCTGAGGGAAAATACCCACTGAATGAGGCTGAGAAGCTGTTAACATTCCACGCCATCCCATGCCATGACTGAGTCAGTAAAGTGGTTTTAATTTTGCTGTTGTAAGGATACTACCAGCTCACTAGCCCTATTCTTTGACTTAGTAATTTAGAGTTAATTACTAAAAGCACATAAACCTACCACTGGTTTATGTTGTTCTGCAGTGTTACTTTGTTGTCCTTGATATTACCAAGGTTTGCAAGGTTTTTTCTGGAAAGTCAGCTGTATTTATTAGTTTTTTTACTTACAGTTTTTGGTGTTTGTAAAGTGAATGTTTTCACTAAACTGCTAAACATGATAATATTCAATGAAACATTCAGACAGTTTATATATGTTGTCTATTCTATATTGAATTATATTATGCTGTATAATATTGCAATCAAACTAGTTAATACAGTTGACATTTTGAGTTTATTCCTGACATGGGAAACTGCAGCTGAGAAAACAGCTGGAGCTTTCAAACATATTTCATGATCTTCATCAACAATTGGACAGTTTTCAAATCTCCACTCATTGCACTCTTTAAGGAATTCTTATATATCTTGGTTTTAAAGCTGAAGATCATTTTTGACCTTGGGAACAACAATTGAGTAGTGGTTATAATAGTAGTAGTTTTGAGTGATAACTGTGAGATTGTTTGCTCAACTGCTTTTGCATAATGACCTCCGCTTCTAAGTCAAAATGCATCAGATGTTCTTTAAGTGTCCATAAAAAAGAAATCAAAGAGAAAAGCAAATGGGCAAACTCCATCTGCTGATGAAGACCATGTGATATGCTTGAAAGCTCAGGAACAGCTACTAAATGTACTAAATGTTAAGATGCACCAGAGACAAGACTGTATTTATAAATGACAATATAGATAATGCTGTATGTTGTCAAAAGAACATTATCTATACCCTTCTGCTACACAAAATACAGTATCTCGTTGTACTGACTTGTGTTTTTCCTCTTTGGCAGCATTGTTTAAATCCCCACACTGCTCCTTCCTCTCTCCACACTTTCTCAGTGAAGAGGGAGGAAGTCAAGAGTTAACCCATGTGTTCTGGATACTCTCTGTGGCTTTGAGTGGTTCTCCATCCAGGAGAAGGAGGCTCACTCCTCACTGCGCTGTGACCCCCGACCACAGTAGCTAGACAGCACTGACTCATACTGTAGCACATGATGAATGACCTCAGCTCTCCAGACACTCATGCAGCTAAAACAAAAACAGAAATTTAGGGAGGTTCTAAATTGTTAGGATGTAGATAAAAGTTGGGTTAGAGCATCTTTAACATTGGACAAACAGTACGAAGCACTACTGGGAATCTGACCTTACACTC